GCTTTTCTTTCATGTCCAAGATAGATTGATTATCTCATGCCTACTCCAGCTGGATACGAAACCATTGTTCACAAACTCGGAGATAATACAATATAAGTAGTTTGTTCAGTCTCGTAGTTTTTGCCATTATATTGTCTTCTTTATTCTCTTTTTGTTTTATATAGAATGGGAGGATTAGTATTTGTTTAGGAGAACGTTAGGGCATATTGGATATGTGCAATCTTTGTCTGTCTATAAACATCTCCTGTGCTAGCTATTCTAGTATAAGGCTGTTTTAGGAAACTCAATGCTGCAATCTTTTTCATGATGCTTCTTTTTTACATTGCATGAATTATTTGCATCGTCAAATGTCGAAACAAGCTAAATGGCTGGTATTGTCTTCACATTTATTGGCATTTTATTGTTGTCATCATTAATGAGTTGCGATAGTTGTAGTTACGAATAGATCATTGTGTTTCATGCAGCGTGATTTATGTGTTTGACAGATCCTTATATTAGGAAAAAAAAATTTGTGGGTAACATTTTGTTCTTGTCAGTAGTTTTCACTACATTAGAAACTATTTCTCCTCAGACATTTTAACTCTAGAATTCTATACCTTGATTAAATGTCATTTTAATGCTCCATATTACATTTAGTTTAACATTGACATCAGTAGGGCATTGTCCGGATGCCTTGTATTCATGCTTTAATTATGTTTTCTGAGTCTGAACACTCATTTTTCATGTTAAATGCTTTTTTATTCTTACGGAGTCGTGTCTGTATGTAAATGGTAATATTGGCCTACATGTTATACATTATGCACCTTGAAAAATTTTAGATACTCTCTAACCTTAACTTTATTTTCCTCTTTTTACTGGAATTATACAATCTTTGACAGGGGAAGATGATTCTTGCACACCTATTCGATGAACCATGGGGTTTGAAAACTGGAATGTGAATGTATGGACCTCTTTCTGAACCTGTGACTCTGCACCTATATTCCTGTTTATATCTCTATATCAAGTATGCCATTCATCATTCATCACATTCCATTCCTCAGATTTCTGAATCTTGAACAGATAGGATGTTGCAAATACCTTTTTTACTTACTCTGATCGGTGACTGCCACCGAACTTATTTATTTCACCAGGATTTTTCGTTGCTTTTTCCGCAGAGTTCCGCTTGTTGATGAGTATATTGTTATTGTTTATTGCTTGTTCACAGATAATTTGCTTTCTCCAGTTAAAGATTAGGTCGTAGTGCACTTGTTAGGAAGGAACTTGTTTTAAAGCTTGTTTCAAAGAAACATGAAACTAGAACTACTTAAGAGAATATCAATGTTCCGAGAGAGAGATAAAAAGAGGACCATGAATAGTTTTACGTTGCTAAAGATTGCAAAAGTCAATTGACATATATTATGTTTGACCTTTTTTTTTAAAGGTTGAACTAGTATCCGACATGAGATATTATTAACACTGACTAGTTTGACTTAAATTTTTCATTAACTTCAATAATGAGCCATGCACTTCAACAAGTATTGTTTAGTTTTAGATGAATAATGAAGTTTTTCTCTTTTATGTAATTATATTCGGAGTATAATTAAATTATATGGTGTAATGAGAAGATATCATTGATGTCCTAGTTAGCCTGACCATTTTTGACCCTTGTGCATAGAGATGTTTGAGGTGTGGTCGAGATGCCTCTAAGGTGAAAACGTTAAACTCTTGATGTATCAACTTATATGAAAATCGAGGTTGGGAGAGATTTCTCAACTCAATTCTTTTAACGCCATAGTTAATAATTTGAGGTAGGTGAGTATAATAAAAAAGTGGAGAGACGAAATATTCTATGAAATATTTTTCGAGTGGACAACATTTAATCATTTTTAACAATTTCAATTTGATCTTTTGTCTAGACAACAAAAGTGGCAATAGTTTATAACTGTCTATTTGGACTCATGTTCACGTGGATAAACTTACGAGGGATAGTTTTTGTCTTCTTCAAATGGATACCATGTGTTTAAATTCTTATATCTTCACTATTACTTGTACTTGATTAGTGTTTAAATTCTTAAAAACTATTAGAAAGATATCTTGTCATTAGAATTAAATTTTGAAAGTATCAATTGGCTTGATAGATACAGATTATCAAATCTTTATGATATTTTAAGATCAAATAATCCTCAACCTTATAAATTTTGAATGTGTTGATTAGTTGATGAAAATTTTATCGAAATCTTGTAAATATGTACATACTTTTCACTATTAATAAAATACAAATAAAATAAAAATTAGAAATCAGAAACATAGAAAAAGGTCAATATTAAGGTTTTTTTTTTTTGTTGAGCTAATGAGCTAATGGCATTGCAAAGCCATATCGTACCAATTGACATATGTTAAGCTACCACCAGAGACCGAGACCCGAAACATATCATATCACCACCCCTTTCAAGCCTGACACACTGCTCCAAAATATGAGCCTCCGCAACCTCTCCCCTACCAAACGTTCCATGTCCCATCTCCTGCCAACAAACAAAGCCAGCAAAAGCAGATTGGCTGACACCAGCAAACAAGCATTGCATTGCATGGTCCACTCGTGGCCTTTTTCTCTCCAGCCATTGCATGCATGTTCACCAGCTCCGGTCCGTAAGAGCCCTAATCCCCATCCAGCCTTTACCAGTAGTAGTAGCAAGCGGCAGTACCCCCCTTTGGTCTCATTTGACGCCATTAGTTAGCCCTTCACATCTCGCCAGCCCAGGAAGAGGAAGCTGCCACCCCTTCTTCACGTAGCCCGCTCCGAAAAGGAGAAGCTCTCCTCCTCCACGTGAACGCAGGCAAATCAATCATCTTCTCCCATCACCTTTCCTTTACTTGCACATAACACAACGTATCACCACCGCGCGCGGACTTCTTTTACAGGCTTTTGTAGCAGCAGCCAGCGTCGCTTTGGTGCGCCGCCGGCAAGAATCCTCGCAACCACCGTACATCTTTCTTTCTTTCTTTCTTTATTTCTTTTTCTTTTACTGGAAAATACAATCTATCAAGGCTAAGAGTAAATCACTTGTACGGTCTGAAGGAGAAAACGAGTTGAGAGGACATTTATCAAACATTTACTGGAAAATACAATCTATTAAGTATTGTTAAGAACATAACATTTATCAAAATTTTAACATATAAAAAGATTTTAAATCTAAATATTCATCATGTTGTGCTAATGAAAATACGTCCGATTTGACATTAGATTGAGTTACCTTAATATATTCTCACATAATGTGTTTCATAATGAATACGGTTTTTCTCTTCGAACCTACGCAAAAAAATATAGTAATCCTTATATTTGCTAATTTTGAGTTTGTATATTATTATGAATTTTCTAGACTATCTTTTACTATATTTATATTTTTTAATATCAGGATCTTCTTAAAGTAAAAAAAAAGGATGGATTCTTTCTTTCTCTGAAGAGGCCAATGAGTTACCATCACAATAATTGAATCAATCAAAACTCTCCCGTCCATCAAACTTATAAGTTTCAATTTGGTAGCGTTTTAGGTGGGACAGATCATTGAAGACTTGATCCAATCTATTTCTTGTGTTGGTCCATCCCTATATGTACAGCTCCTTTGGACCCTCCTCGTCTTCATCTGAATCATTTACCTCATCAACGCCATTGAGTTTGGATCTTTATACATGTCTAAGGATAGCAATTACTGAGTTTATTTTTTGTAAAAATAATATTTTATTAATGATAAGGTAGCATGCCAACTTCATGTCATGATTCGTCTATGTCGACCTATCATGTCACTCATATTAGAATCATCTTAATGTACCTAATCATTCCGACACATTAATTAAGCTCTCCACTTACTCTCACTTATTATTATGAATTATGGATAACATATTTTTAACTTAAATATCAAATGCATCTTTGCCCAATATGCCTTTGTAGATAGTGAACTTGATTTGATTATCAACCTCTTACGTGTTAGATAATCATAATTGATTTAAAAATAATATAGTAATCTACAACAAATGTTATCCAAGAAAAAGAAAAACACAAGATCACCATAGTCCGAATCAAGCCAAGCATGAAGACATGAGAAAATACAATTTAGCCTAGCTTTAAATGTTTTCTTCCTTTCATTTTTGCTAGTAGTAATCAGGCATAACTCATGAGACTTAATATCATGATGACTGTAATAATCTTTCGTATATTACACTGCATCAATAACATAACCAAGCATTAATTGGTCTCTTCCAAGTAAGTCTACTTGTAGTAGTAATCGTAATCACTCTAATCATTTCCGTATATTATTACACTGCATAAATCATATAAATAGTCAATTATCTTATTAATTTTTTATGAGTATATATAATCATTTGTTGGTCACATAAAAATAATAATAGTAATAATATACAAAATAAATTATCAAAAAAATCCTCTTTTGATTTTTTTTTTGAGAAGAAACATCCTATTTCTAGAATTCTCAAATAGTATCTTTTTTATTTGATTCCATAGGGTGAATCGTTCCGGTTATAATATTTTTTCCATTATGTTACACTGTTTTCATTAATATCAGAAAAATATTATAATGCAGTATAAAAATAATGTAACATAATATTTTTATATAAATTCTATGAAAAATATTAAGTTTGTAGTATTTTTATATTACATTATAATATTTTTAATAATACTAAAAAAATTACTATAATGCAGTATAAAAATATTATAACATAGTATTTTTATTTTCAGAATATTAAAAAATTATAATATTTTTTTTAGTATTACTGAAAACTCTATAACATATTGTAAGAAAAAAAAAGATAGATAATCCGGGCTATTTCGAGTATGAATAAAAAAATATTATTTGGGATTAGGAGGATAAAATAATAATAATAATAATAATAATAATAATAATAATAATAATAATAATAATAATAACGACAAGCTGTGAAAAGAAAAAGGCGAAGAGAAAAAGACGGCAAGTGTGTGAGGGAGGCTGAGGTCGCTGTTGGGCGATTTATACGGAAAAAGGACGCACTGTCACTGCACTGCCTCCCTCTTTGCTTCTTCTCTCCCCCAATTTGACTACCACATTGGATCGGTAGATAGCAATATGGTAGCTCTTTTCCTCCTCTTCCCTCTTCTTCTTCTTTCCGCCGCTCTCTCGTCGTCTGCCTCTTCTCTCGCTTAGATAGATCGAATCAATAGACTCTCCGGACGATGGGAAGCCTCCCGGAGGAGGAGGAGGAGGAGTACGCGTCCGACCTCCAAAGCGACCGCTGCGGGAGCTACAGCCCCAGCGCCGATGTCAGCGAGTCAGAGTCCTCCGGTGGCCTCTCCGACCGCGCCCCGCTCGCCGCCGCCGCCGCCTCCGCCCCCTTCGCCTCTTCGCCGCTCGCGGCGCTGCTGCCTGCCGACCCCCATTTGGTGCTCTGGGAGCCGAAGTTGGAAAAGAGGGACACCGATTTCTCGGGTTTGTACTGTCTCTGCCCTAGGCTTCGGCCTTTTCCTTCTCTTGATCGAGATCGTTTAGCTACGCGACCGATCGTTTCAGAGGTGGAGATGATGAAGGAGAGGTTTGCGAAGCTTCTGCTCGGGGAGGACATGTCCGGCGGTGGCAAAGGAGTCTGTACCGCGCTTGCCATCTCGAATGCCATCACGAATCTTTCCGGTGACATACATTTGCTTCCCTTCTGCTCTTTCGTTCGATTCTTTTGCTGACACGATGCATTCAGCTACCGTGTTTGGGGAGCTCTGGCGATTGGAGCCCCTGGCGGCGCTGAAGAAGGCAATGTGGCGCCGGGAGATGGATTGGTTGCTATGCGTGAGCGATTCTATCGTGGAGCTCATCCCTTCCATCCAAGACTTCCCTGGGGGCGGCACCTTCGAGGTGATGGTCTCTCGTCCCCGAGCCGACCTCCACATGAACCTCCCCGCGCTCAAGAAGCTGGACGCCATGCTTATCGGGATGTTGGATGGGTTCCAAGGTACTGAGTTTTGGTATGTGGATCGGGGGATTTTGGTTGCTGATGCAGACGAGGATGGGAGCAGGTCCTGCCCGTCTTCATCCTTTGGCAGGCCATCGTTGCGCCAGGAAGAAAAATGGTGGCTTCCGTGCCCAAGGGTGCCGCCCAAAGGCTTGTCGGAGGTCGCAAGGAAGAGGTTGCAGCAATGTCGGGATTGTGTGAATCAGATTCTTAAGGCAGCCATGGCGATTAATAGTGGGGTGCTTGCTGAGATGGTGATCCCTGACGTGTATAACGAGACCTTGCCTAAGGTATAAATACATCATGATGATTTACCTCACTGTCTGATCCAACATACGCTGAATTTTGATGGTTTATAGCATCAATAACTCGAGTAATTCTTTATTCCTTGGATGTTACTGACTACATATTTTTCCGTGGCTTTAAGGTTTGATACAATGATCATGACTGCTCCTTGCTAAGATTTTATGGTATGTCATAATAATTGCTAAATGTTCATTGTCACATTTAGGTTCAGTACATTCTATCTAAGGTTCAATTTAGCTCATACTAAAATTTTCTAGACATTATTCGTATGCTTAATCTAGTTCTCTGCATTTTTCGGTTTGTTTTCACTTGTGGAGGATACTATGTGAGTTAGCCTGACATTGTACTGTCATTTTGAATGTTAATATAGTTTACATGCTCGAGGATTGTTGTTAGCTAAGTTAACTCATATCTATATGTGCCATGTTTAGTTGCTGCGGAGCACAGGTGCTGTGGAATTAAATCCAGCATTAGATTGAGGGCAAGAATTAGACATAATGGTTAAATGGGATATGGTTTTCATTTAGCACATGATAGTTGATTACTGATGTCCAAGGAAAAACAAAGCACTAAAGTGGATAGAAAAAAGGATAGTCCTCAAATGATATGGTTGTTGAGAGTGGAACCCATGATTCTTCATTTCTTGATTTTTCCACCCTTGAGAATGAAGACTGTAAGAAGGTTGTTCCATATATAAGTTGCTATATGCTACCCATAACTCTCCTTTATGCAACTTGTAGCACCACTCTTATTGCATCTCTTGCTGGGATGCGAATCATGAAAAAGAAACACAGAAGGAAAGAGAAATCAAATGAAATGAGAGACATATAGTTGAAAATAGTAATTTGCCGGGAAGTGTTTTTGTTGAAGAAAAGATCACGAGGAAGTTGTTTGCAGGTTAAATTATGATAATTCAAAAGGGTTTCAGTAAGAGATAATGGGTGATAAGGCAGTAAACTTCAGATTTACTTTGATATAAGTAACTGATTAAAGAAAATCATGAATGACCCTACAGTATTCAACATGATATGAGGAGAGAGAGAGAATCCTGAAATTAGATGTGAGAAATGGTGCATTAGAATCTGGAGAGTTCCAATTTGTAAGCTAAATTCCATGGATGTATTCACACTTCACAGTTGGTCATGGTGATGTGTGCTCTGATCAGCATCATTTTCAATTTGGGGGCTGTCACAAAGATAAGCATTAGCTGATAACATAAGTCACCTTGTTGTAAAGTTGGGCATAATGTTCTGTTCAGCATGCTGATCTGATTCTTTTGTTGATATTCATGTAGAGTCCTGTTCATTCCTATATTTACTAGTTACCTTCTGAATTTTGCTAGGGACATCCAGAGATTGACATTGTATTTCATTCATAAAGCAGTTCTACACTATTCTATTTTTTTACACTGCAAATCCTAAAATGTTTGTTGGTTTGTATCTTGTGCAAGCGTAACTTCTTTTGCTAATATATGTTTTTTCTTCAGAGTGGGAAATCATGTTTGGGTGAGATAATTTACCACTACATAACAGCTGAAGAATTTTCACCAGATTGCCTTCTTGATTGTTTGGATCTGTCATCTGAGCATCATACGCTTGAAATAGCAAATAGGATTGAGGCAGCAATTCATGTTTGGAGGCTGAAAAGCCAAAAAAGACATCCCCAACCAAAGGAAAAAAAGACGTCTTGGAGAGGAAAAGTGAAAGGCCTTGTTGCTGTCACCAGAAAAAGTCAATTTCTGGCAGAACGGGCAGAGGGTCTCTTGCAAAGCTTAAAAATTCAATATCCTGGACTTCCTCAGACAGTTCTAGATATGAACAAAATTCAGTACAATAAGGTGAAAATCTGATATCCTGGACTTACAATCATGTAGTAAATGATGAAAATAACACATGCAATCATGATATGTTTTTAATGGCGGAATAGTTCCAGACAATTCACCTCATTTTGGATCCTTCATCCACAGATTCTACTGAGAGGATGAGGCTGTTGTATTCTGCACTCCTATACTCTTGGAACAATAAGAAGCAAACATCACATTGTAATCTGTTTTGCAGGATGTAGGGCAGTCCATACTCGAGAGTTACTCCAGAGTCATGGAAAGTTTGGCATTTAATATCATGGCAAGGATTGATGACTTAATCTTTGTGGATGATGCAACAAAAAAATGTGCAGCCGCGGAAGCTGTCTCTATATTCAACCGGGGAGGAATGGGAGGACTTCCAGTTCAGAAAAGGATGTCGCCCAGCCCCTTCTCAATTCAGAATTCACCTTATGCCTCACCATTTGCAACACCTACATTTTGCTCTTCAACCCCAATAACCGAAAGCCCTGGAAGGCTGCAAACTTCTTTAAGTAAGAGGAGTATCCAGTTTCAACAAGAGGGAAAGATGGCAAAGATCATCTCCGGTGACCTGGAGAAGTTGTGGTCATACACTGGCAACCTGAGTGCCAGAAAAGATGCAGGAGATGCTCCCGAAAGGGACTAATTCCAGATAAACGAATGCTCTTGCAAGATTAGCAAAAGAAGCATGAGACCCCAAGTCTGGTTGGTGGGTTTGGTTCTGTATAGATGTGCAATTGAGGATATCAGGTTTTGTTTCGGATTCAGACTTAGCTGCAGGTCATAGTCTTGTTAGATGTACTAGTAGTGGAACTGCATTGTTGTTTGGAAGAAAATTTGTGTTGTGATCTGTTAGGTATTTGAGGTTTTCCTCTTCGGATGGTGTTCAGATGGGTTAACATGAGCATGAACGATGACCTTGGTCGATTTAGCATTGTAAATTAAAATAAGCTCTTCTCATTTGTCACTGATACTGCATTTTGTGGTGTATCAAAAACCTTCCTAACAACAGCATGTTCTTCATGAATTTTAGCCTACCTTACCGTGTCTTAAGAGTGTCATTTCTGTTCAAGTTAGTGTAATTGTGATTTGATACATAATAGGAGATGAAGTCAGGTGAAGATCTTTAGCTGAAACTTCAAAAAACAAGCATCTGACATAAATTGCCAGATATTTCCTTGAGCCAAAAAAACACGTACAAAGGTTTCGAGTAATCGGGTTGATTCGTACACCGGTTTCAGGCGAGGATTTGACCAATCCTGGACTCAAGTGGACCGGCTCAGAGGAGTTGGGTTGGGTTCTGCGGCGATGTAGCAATCGAATTGGGCTCGGGCTTTCCAATTTGACCCAAGGTTGACTCAACTGAACCAGCTCAGCTCAACTTGTATCGATGGAATTGGGCTCCGGCTCTCCTAAATTTATAATTTGACCCAAGATCGACTCAACTGGTCCAACTTAACATAGAAGGGATTGGGTCCGCGCGATATAACGCTGGAATTTGGGTTCGGGCTCTTCTAAATTTCCTACCCACAGCTGCCGGTTAACCAAGAGGGCGTCAACCTGCCACGCGCTCGGAGTCGACACCGATCCCCATCGGCCACTGCGGCTTAGCCAGGTAGGGCAAGCGTGTGCTCTTTCGACGGCTCTCCGATCCAATCTCCTTCTCTCTGAAGCAGCAGCTCCTCCAGGTCCTTCCCTTCGTTTTCTTTTGTCCATCTCAACGATTTCTTCCTCTGATTGTTGTTATTGGTGGATCTATTCGATCATGAGCTAGTCCAAATTGTGGTCTTCGTGGTGAATATTCTTCGGGTCATCAACATGATTTACGTTTTGAGTCGTATGGTTTATGCCTCTTGTACTTGTAATCGAAGTTGGATCAAGAATTGCGAGATTCGTCTTGAATTCTTACCCCCTTTTTCTACTTGGGCTTTTGATGATTTGATGGTCATACTAGTAGACCGATTTTGATCGGAGCCGCAGATCTTTTGGTGTTAGGCGAGGTTGGATTGATGTTGTGGGGTTGTCACTCGGGGAGAGATCGCTCGATCTACCAGTGCTAGTGCCGCTTAATGAAGAAACTTCTATTCTAAAGGCAAAAATAGGGTTCGAAATGTATAATCCTCATTAAAAATATATTTTTTCTTCTTTTGGGGTTTGCATTCTACATATTTACAAATTATCTGCAGTTTGACCATGATTGTTATGTTTCCCAGTGTAGAACAGGATTTATGTGAAGGATTCTAATTAGAGAGATATTCCAGCAATGACATTGGTGATTTGTTTAGCAAGACTTGGAATTTCATCTGCTAAGTTGGACTTTGATTCGCCTTTTTTTTCTCAACCAAATGATTAGTAACATATTCTGGAAACAACAATGGTGGATTGGTCTGGCAAACTTAACATTCCATCCCAACCAGCATGCCTGAGAAACAAAGAAGATTAAATCAGAATTTGTAGTTGTCTGTGATTATATACTACTGAATATTTCTGTTTATTGCTTTCTTGGTTTCACATCGACTTCTGAATGCATTTATGCCATTTTTATCTTGATATAATGGTAGTTATCTCATAGGATATCTCACACTTATATTCTTCTGATTTATGTTTCTCATAATTCAGTGGTGAAGTTCCAAACGTCTTCTTTTAAGCACTAATGGCTGCTGGAAGAGGCATCAGCCAGCTCCTGAGGAAGCGTTTTCAGTTTCAGTCATCAGTAAGTATTTCTTTTTGAACCTAATCTATTTTGAACCTTCTCAGCAAGGTTCATATCATGTGTGTGTTAGTCGTCTCTTTCAAATTGTCAAATTTTAGGGTTCGATAAAAAAGAGACACTTTGCTTCCATGCTGTGGTAGACCACTTACGAGTGAAAGTCTTGTTTTAGATTCTTTAAACAGGATATGCACTTCCTTGATCTTGTATGTACAAGTTAATCTTGGATATCTACATACACATTAGAGAGGAAGAGAATGATCTTTGGAACAAGGTTTCCTTCCCCTCCTCTACTCTTTGGAACGAGATGATACTCTTGAGTTGATGGTGTGTTAGCAAAGCACTAAACCTTCCAACATCTATTGAAGAAATGTAGTACAAGATTTTCAATGGAAATCAATCAGCATAGGAATGCCTATGAACATGCATTTGGGATATATTGTGAAATATTTCTTGTTAATACTACTATAGCGAGAAACATTTTTATGATTTTTATTCTTAACAAGAAATTATTAGTTCCATTTTTTGCTTTCTTGATTTTTGTACAGATTATGGTATGATTATATGTTAAATAAACTTTTCCTTCCTGACTAAAAACTCATATTAGTCTTATGAGATTCTTTTATATGCAGGTTCCATCTTTTGTTCAATATATAAAGCAGGAAGAGGCTACCGGATCAGCTGGTATGAAATCTCCAAAGGTGCTTGCATTACTTGGAGTTGGTATTACTGGTGCTCTGGGTTTTGCTTCCTTGGCATCTGCTGATGAAGCAGAGCATGGTTTAGCAGCCCCAATTTATCCATGGCCTCATAAGGGTATCCTTGATTCGTATGACCATGCATCGTAAGTAAAAGGATGCTAATGGCTTTGTTTTTTGTAAATTGTGAACTTTACTTTTTCTTGTATGCTATCAAACAAAACCACTGTAGTTCGAGTATTGTGGTGTCGCAAACTACAAAGAGATTAATTGTATAGCTGAAAAAAGTTAGTTTGGTTCTTAAATGGAGTTACCTTGTCTGATGACTTCCAATTTTTTTTTCATATTAACTTTTGTAAGGTACAAATAGTTATTTCCACTTTATTGACAGTAGCAAGGTTTTTGCAATACTGTCCAGGATGAACAGTATTTAGTGATCCAGTAGTCTATTGGCACATGAAGCAGGGTAAATCGGATGATATGCTCGGTACAGGGCCTGTACGGGGCAGTAACATTTTATTATTTTTCAATTTGTTTAGGCTTTTTCCAAAACTTGGTATGTAGTGGCATATTACCAACACATGGTATGCTAGTACAGTTCGAACTTGTACCAGTCTCGGTCTGGACCGGTACAAATTCGTTATCCGAAACTAAAAATCTTGGATTATAGACTTTGTTTCTTTTGCACAATTATGTTTACCAGCATATATGATAATTCTTTTAAGTGGAATGACACTGTAACTATGGCCTGGATCGGTATGGCTCAAGTGCCTGAGATTAAAAACCTTGAAATATAGACTTTGTTTTGTTTGCACAATTATGTTTACCAGCTTATGTGATAATTCTTTTAAGTGGAATGAAACTGTATTTATTCAGCATAAGACTTATGTGGCAATTGTTACATGATATGATATGGGCAGAATTCGGCGGGGTCACCAAGTTTTCCAACAAGTATGTGCCTCTTGTCATTCGATGTCTCTGATTTCATATCGAGATCTTGTTGGTGTTGCATACACTGAAGAGGAGACAAAAGCGATGGCTGCTGAGATTGAGGTTGTTGATGGCCCAAATGATGAAGGTGAAATGTTTACTCGCCCTGGTAAATTAAGTGATCGTTTTCAGCAGCCATACCCCAATGAACAAGCAGCAAGATTTGCAAATGGAGGAGCATATCCTCCTGACCTGAGCCTAATCACGAAGGTACAATGAGTACATGCATATTTTGTTTACCTGTAATGTTCATCTTTTCCATGGCATTCTTTGTGATTCTTTACCTTTTTCCAGGCACGACACAATGGCCAGAACTATGTGTTTGCCCTTCTCACTGGCTATCGTGATCCTCCTGCTGGTGTTTCGGTAATATTCTGGTTATAGTTTAAAATTTTCCTGTGTTTGTATGATAATGTTAGGAAACACCAATGACACTGCTATAGTCTTGTTTGTTACACTTCAGCAAGCTTAACTAGTGAGGCTTTTACATGTGATCTTCTTCTATGTTCAAACTAATCTTCTGGCATCAACTGAATTTGCACTCTTTGTTGTTGTCCATTGAATGAATTTGCAAAATGGAAAGTAAATTCTGAACAAAATGTATAATGTTTTATGGTTTTTTTTTGTGGGGTTTTCTTGCTTATAACGAGTTTGAAAATATTCATATTTGTAATTTCTTCAGTAGCTTTGATGCCAATTGGTGATTCTGTCTGAAGAGATATATCATTAAAAACATGATTATGATGTGCTTATGTGTTTGTAATTCCTGTAGGTATAAAAAGTACATCTCATTGCTGTTTGCATTTGCTTTTTACATTATAACTGCTAATATGCTGGAAGAAAGTAAGTTGTTGTTTATCGTTTTTTTTTTCAATTGTTGATGTAAGCAAATTGAGTCTACACAGTTGTTGGTATCTTTTAGTCAAAATGTGCTTGTTTCCTGTCTGTTGCTTTATAATTATTTAAACATATGCATTTTTTTGCTTCTTCAAGAATTAGCCATCTTATTCCTTTCATTTTCTTTTCTTTCAATTATTTCTTATTATATTATTCTTTCTCTTCTGTTTTCCCTCTTTGAGTTTTCTTCTGGCTTTTCAATAAAATTAAGCTATATCTTCGTTTCTTTTGCATTGCTTTTTTTTAGTCTTCATTAGATGCATTCCTTCCTCACTTTTCTCTTTCATAAGTTCCTTTCCTCCTCTATTTGCTGCTATAATCTGTTGATAATTTATGATTCTTCTCTATTGCTTGTTTTGTTTTGTGACTAGGTAATTTGCTGTTAAGTTATTTTTAATGCATCTTGTATACTGCTATGTTATGTCCATTAGACATGCCATTTATTATACTGGTATAAAATAGAGTGCTTATATGGAAATCACTTTTATTGATGGACTTTATGCCCTATTAGATAATTCCCTACAGATAGCTCAGGAAAGACTCAACCATGCCAATAAGAAAAAAGATTGGTTTCATCATAGTAACGATGTCAGCTCAGTAGATGATAACTCACCAGCCTGTTAAGGCTATAAGCTATAAAAGGCTTTGGTGACGGTTAATGGATTGATTCCATTAACTCAATCTAGTTACCTTGACAAACAGGACACAAATAAGCTTTTGTTTGGAGATATACTTTATAGTGTTCATTCTGGGCCTGGCTTTTCTTGAATTATGTCATCCTGTGTGCATTGAATCACATATTAAAGAATTTTGTGTTTAATTTATCTTGTACCTGATGTTTCTTGGGAGGCTTCTTCTCCATTAATTACTTTTAAGAGATTGCATCTAGTACTTTTCCTCCTTTGTGTTGTACCAGCTTATGGTAGTTTAAGTATATCAGATATCTAATTATGAAATTTCTAGCATGATTGTATAAGCTGTCATCAGTCAGAAAGAAACTATTTTATGTATATTTTTTTCCTTTTGGTGATAAAAAAAACCCATTGTGCATGCGGGAAAAAGTTAAACATGAGTGTAGCCATATACTGGTCCACCAATATAAAATTTCTCTAGGGAAAAAGCTAATGTGGGTGTAGGCATGTGTCAGTTTGTGCATTATCTGATAATGTATCACCATTGTTTTTCTTTCTCCTGTAGCCATATACTCCTTGAACTGAGGATTTATTTCTATTGGTGGTAATAACAGATTCGTGAGGGGCTGCATTACAATCCCTATTTTCCCGGTGGTGCAATAGCTATGCCAAAAATGCTTATCGATGGTGCTGTTGAGTACGAAGATGGTACTCCTGCAACTGAAGCCCAGGTAAGATTCTGCCTTGTAGCGTATCTATTTACCTTGTGATATATGTATTAGGTGCAAGATTCTGATATCTTGATGTCACCATTGCTCCAGATGGGCAAAGATGTTGTTACATTTTTATCTTGGGCAGCGGAGCCTGAGATGGAAGAGAGAAAATTGGTAACATGGTTTTTTCCTCCACACTTTCTTGTATAATTTCATTACCTGTGAGCTTCTCTATTAACCTTCAGCACTTTGCTTTGGTAGATGGGGTTCAAATGGATTTTCGTTCTGTCGCTTGCTCTTCTCCAAGCTGCTTACTATCGGCGGCTGAAGTGGTCTGTTATTAAGTCACGCAAGCTGGTTGTAGATGTCGTGAACTAATGTCTTTGTTGCTACTTGCATGTCGTGGACAAAATGGAAATAAGGACCTTGGATGATGTACATTGCCGGATGGATCTCAAGCATTCTATTTTCTTCTGTCCGAGAGAAGTTCTTTCTTTTTCCCCTCGAGTTAAAATTTTGGATTTGTCAAGGCTTTAATGGCCTTAAACAAAAGACTTGTTAATTCTTTCAGAAACTTAATTTCATGTTATGTTTGACATTATGTTGGAAGGGAAATGTGCTTTTGTGATGCCAGCCATCCATTATGTTTTAGCGTTTACAGCAATGGATCCAAGGAGTCTGAGAACATTGATGTAAAATGATTTCACATTTGTTATCAACTGATCAAGTGATAATTTATTTTGCATTGGAGTTTTATGCATGTTCTTGGTAGAACCAATCTTTATTTCTTCTTTGGATTTTTAAATATATTTTTGCTTAATTTTGAGACCACCTCACTACTCTGGCAACGATACCAAAAATGAGTGTCAAATTTATCATTTGTGGTTGTGATGAAATATGTATGACATATTCTGGTTATTTGACATGTGGAGATGATTTAAAGGCAATCAAGGTCCTTATTCAAGCATGTCTCAGGTTGGTTGAAGTGTCGAGAGACTACAAAATTCGACACAGGATCTTACAAAACCATGTTGGTATATACTTGAGACCTTTGTTGGTATATACTTGACAAGGTCAGTTAGTATAGATTTGAATCATTCGATTAAATGTCAAGCACAAAAGCAATTAGCATATTATTTGATCACCAATAAGTCGTATATTGAATCATCGATTATAAAATGATGGTTTGGCCAAGTCAATTACTCTGTCAAATGTTAAGTGGAAAGATCCATTTAGTTAAATAAATCATCATCTGACATGGCACCGACCATATGAGATAGGGGCCTACTAGATATGTCGATCGTAATGTGTCGTCAATAGCGTAGGTTTATGATTGTCTTAGATGTCGAACAATAATAATTTGAGGTTGGATTATCTTAGTCATCATCGAAGATCACATCCTTGTTGGATTCAATTGTCACTGTCGGCAATGACCGATTTAACTTGCATCATCATCATGGAGAGATGCTTCATGAACAATGCAATCAGACGCTCTCGGTCAATTTGGCTTACATTATACTCGAGAGATACTTCTCAATTAATTCGGTTGATATCATAAATACGAGACTTCGAGGTTAAGAGAGAAGGAGCGTAGAGTAGACATGATAGAAATTAAGAAACTACTTTTCATCGTAGATTGGCCAATGAATAAAAAAAGGCCATTGAAATATAGTGGTAATGTGATAGATTGACCGACCGAATTAGTATAGAATTCATCGGATATTCACAATACAAGCAAGCATGAGATTCGAGGTATGAGATCCTATAATTATGTTGGTGGGTTCCTTCGATTAAGGATATTCAAATTATATTAAAATTTTGAATCAAACTTAACCTAAACTTAAACAATCCGGTTTGAACCGATTCACCAATGGTACAATATTGAAGGCTATAAATGATTATGGTTTGAGGATACTCTTCTTTGGTTCGGTTAACTAATTCAAACCAAATCGAATCAATTTTAATTTAAAGAAAATCTCCTAATATTTTATCCTTGACCTTATACTCTCGTCTGTAAATAGACAGGACCTCTAAAGACTGAACTACTCTCGCTTATAAATAGACAGGACCTCTAAGGACTGAACACGCACGGATACACAGATGCACGTCTTCGTCTCATAACGAACATAGTTGAGGAATTACCTCAACTCTCTCCCTAAACCATCAATCTAGTTAGTCCTGTGAAAGGATAAGAAGAGAGGAGAAAGGATCTAGTTCCTCCTCGTGACAACGATCTTAGATTAAAAACGGTGCCTTATAGATCAAACAAAAATATCTAAATAAATGACATCAAAAGGTACGCATCATTAAACTACATCTAAGTATTTGATTTCAATCTTGGCATAAAGGTTATTTCCGTATTTTAATATAGCATACTACATATTTTTATACTTTCACTTCTTGACTACTTCGGACTACATCGTCATCATAGACACTTTTTAGCCCATGCGACATTTGATAAAATTCTTCAAATTTATACTAACTTAATTATTGGATGGATCTCGTCCGGTATGCCTTGGATCTAGTTTTATAGAATCTCATTTTGAATCTCTTGGTCTCTTAACATTTTAGCCAGTAATATGTCTTAAAGAGGACATTAGTTGGCTCCAAATCACCCTCATGTATTGGACAACCAGAGTCTACCGTGATATATCCTATTTCAGAATTGGTTTCTTGTCCAATATTCCTATCATTACCTTAACTTCATAAGATATAGATCCATGCTTCCTGCAATTCTCAAGTGCTCTTAAACATGACATGATGTCTGTTTTCGTATAATACTGATGTTTACTGCAATTCTCAGGCCAAAAATTTCATTACTTGGAAAACAAAATTGGAAATCTTCTATAACTCAACACAAGGAAACGGGAGGTGGACTCACAGGGAGTGTCATGTTTGTCGTAGTGAAAGTGAAGGATCTATGGATCGCAATGGAAAAAAAGGAAAGAGAAAATTACGACAGTGACGAAGTTACCGATCACAAAGGAAAAAGAAAGTGTTACGGCCGCAATGCTTCAGATAATATGATGGTGAGCTTATTAGTTTTATGATACCATAGAGACGAGATTTGGAGGTGGCGGGAGAGAGAAGAACGAGTAGAGAAAGGTGGCTTCGCGAGCATCATTTATTTAGGAAACCAACGAATCAAACGACCAGATGGTTGGAAAAGATATCTCGTTTTGGGATATGATTTCGGAAACTCATTTTCATCATAATTTAGTGGCAATGTGAATTAGTATAGAATTAATTCATCAGATTCACAATCCACATATTGTATGTACAGTAGTGTTAGTATAAACAACGTTAAGCCGTGGCCTTGGGACCGAGGCGGCTTGGTTCGGGTCCGAATGATAGGGATTTTCCCGAGACGTCCCTTGAGTCCGCCGAGGTGGTCGACTGCGATGGTCGAGACGATGTCGTAGTCTACTCATAGCAAGAATTCGCCTTTGCGTTTCGCAGGGACCTTCGGCTTCACCCCTGTACAAAGGTCGGGTCGGGGTGCTCGGCCCGACCCCTCCGACGATCAAGTTAGTCGATGTAAAGGGGAAGTCAGATAGAGAAGTTTTTTTTCCTCCCTTCCTCTTCGGAATGCGAGGGTACTTATAGGGAAGCTTACTATTTCCTGACGTGCCCGCTTGCAAGGGACAGGGTGATGACGTCTGATACTGGTGTTGGCGTGGCATGAAGAATCGAGCCTGAGCAAGCGTAAATGTGCCTCGACCGACGTTCCGATCCGTTTGACCAGGTACTATCACGTCGATCGAGGCATGAGGCGTCATTAGACGTCAGTCGAGTTCATCATAATTACTATCCTTATCAAGTAGTATGACATAATTAACCATGGCACATATTTCCGCACCACCATCGAGCCGACCGCCATGCCATGCCATCAATCCTTTGCGTGCGTACTTGTTTGTTGGTGGTCTCGTCGTCCCGGCCGGATTCAAGACATCATGGAACACACAAATCTCTTTCTCTCACCCTTCCCTTTTGGGTTTCTGTGCGCGTGTAAAGAGGCATCGCCAGATTGCAGGCAGTGGGATGTGGGGCTGGTCTTGACCGGACCAGTGCCAAAAACTACGGAACGAGCCGCAAGGATACAACGCAAGCCAAACTTGGAAGTGGAAGATCCCGTGATTCCAGTGTCGCCATTGTACGTTCCTCCTCCGGCCGAGATCTGGTAACATGAGAGCCATGCATCGATAGGTCAAAACTCAACGTGGTGGTAGGTCGTTCATCATGCAGTATGACCGGCCAAACCACCGCATGACTTCACGCTCCAAACCGTCATCTGAACTCGCTATGGACGCACGCAGATGTTGAGCTCCATAAATAAACGTCGAACTCCCCCACCTATGAACCGCGCCTCTTTCTGCTTGCATACGCAGATCAACTGACGCCTAAACCTCGTTCGCCTGCTGCTGCTGCTGCTTCCTTCCTTCCTATATCACTGGTCACCCTCTCCCTGTCTTCGTCATCGGTTTAATTGTAGAAGCTTGCGCCGTGCAGGAAACCGCGCGCTATGAGCTCCCGCCACATCGTCTTCGTCAACGCCATCGTTCTCATGGCGTTCTTCGTCCTTGTTCTCTTCCCGGCGGTGCGCGAGGTACAAGGCTCCAGGCTTATCGGCCGCGACCGGGGCCAGCCATCAGCGGCGACGTCGACGGTTCTGACGATAGCGAAGGCGTCCCATGGGCCGAGCCTACGAGGCCCTGGCCATTAATGATGCCTCGTTGTTGCCTTGTCCTTCTTTTTGTTCTGTGGTGGCGTTGATGGAGAAGGAAAATAAAGGGTAGGGTTACACACTTGATTTGGAATGGCAACTTCCGCTGCAAGTGCCTCATTGTTACGCAAGGATCACGAGGATAATAGATTGTTCTTTGGGAGATCACCGGGGTTTTACCTCCGACTGACTAATCTATAAAAGACAAAAAGGATGTTTTTGATGAGATAACAAAGGCATAACTTGTCGTCACCTGTGTGAATCAATCAATGTCCATGAATGTTATGACACGACACGGAAGGTTCTCATCAACCTCGGTGATGCCTCGACACCAAAGATTACTTCTGGTGTGAGGAAAAACAATGGATTAGAGGAACAGCAAACTATATTGTATTGACTCTTTAACACATTAGTGGACAACCCGCTAATGAGATGGAGGGCTTCGAAATTCGTGCACACCTTTGAAAGGAACGGAGGACGACAAGCTTTGGTGCGCCGCATCTGCTGTCGTCTCTTCTCCATGGACAGTGCACGCATGTCTCCGGCCTCGTCGTGTGGGGATCTCGAGCACCGCGAGTCTTGCCTTCTTCGCCGCCCACTCTGGTTTCTCCCATGTGGGGAGGGAGTTCACCTCGGGTGGACGCGCAACGAAGACCCAATCGAGATGGTGCCATCTTGTGGTTCGGGCAGTGAAATATTTAGCCATCAGATGACACGAGTGCCGAGATGAGCTCTTCATGCCGAGCACAACTGCTGCTTCCGAAGTCCTCCTTCGAGCCGTCCAAGTTTGGAGAACTCCTGCCAAGAGGAGTCAACGGGGAGTTCAGTTGTGCAAGCTCGAGAGTTTCAAGAATGCAACAGAAGCAGGACTGGGCGGCAAACCTCTAAATCCAACTTAGAAGACATAGCTTGGCGTGATAATGGAAGCAGCCGATCGAAGCTGATGTTTGGGTCGACCTCGTTTCTTCCTCGATGGCATGGGTTGGTGATATCGGTTGACACCAATTACAGTTCTGTGGGAGCAGTGAGTAGGAAAGATGTTAGAAACCCAATTACAAGCAAGCATAGCAGATCTCTACCACATAACATGTTACAATGACTAAAACAGGCTATTATCACGAGGATTGAGGCTCGTTCAGGCTCCAATTGAAGAAATCAAATTTTACTTCCTAAAACATAATAACATATACATCAGATAGATGGAAAAAGAAGAAAATATTATGCTCTGATTTGATCAATGGTATCAGACTCTGAAATGTATGTATTGACTTAGCCATGTTCCCTGTATTCATATCAAGTTCCATCAATTTGATTTCTAAATTTTGATCATTGCATCACATCTAACAGGACTGATCTTCAATTTGGTATATTTATGTCTGATTATAAGTTTGATTAAATTGCAACCTCAATACATCCAATAGAATGTTAAAATTTAGCCTACTAATATGAACTTTTGTTACTATATTTTGAGCCACCTGCAAATCTGATCTTCAATTGGTAGGTTTATGATTGAAGCTACAATCCTTCTGATAGAATTCTAGCTGAACTCCTAAGTTATTTATTGTTATGACTATAACAAGAAAAAAATATAACATAAGCCAAATAACTGTTGAAACAATTATGAAAAAGAATAATTTTCATAATCACTGTTACTGCTTACCATGCAAGTGAATACACTGAATTGAAGATATGGAAATAGACGAATCTATAGAAAATGATCTTCAAATTTGAAGGCCTATTCTTTGGCAATAGGAAGATTAAGAATTCCCCCATAGTTCTCACTAATAGAAGCCTGTTGGAGCATGAAATCAGAGAAGGGTCAGTGCTATATTATCTGCCTCTAGAATTGCTAAATGCCAGCATGACATCTGAAAGTGTTGTAACAGATCTCTCTTCTTTACAGAAATAGAGCATGATTTGAGATAATGTAAATTCTGAGCACTAATTAAGAATAGAAAGGCAAGAGTACAGCCAGTTCAGTTTCGTAAGTAAAGAAAAGGCTGACAGCAAGAATAATCGTCAACACGTAACAGAGGAAATGCTAACAAACTCATTGGGAAAATCAGAGACAGATGCTACAAAAGTATTAACCAGAAAAAAAAAAAAAACCGCACAAAACCAGGCATCCAAACTGGAAATTTATACATAAGGCTACGATTATGATGAAAAAGCGCTAACTACCATAATTTCATGGATAAATCATGAAAATTTAGGCACCATGAGGAAGTCTATGAGAGTCTGGTAATTTCAACACAGAATGATCTTAAACTTCAAGAAATTGCTTGTAAATCTATGATAAATTTGAATGGGCAAAGAAGCAGCGAGCTCGATCTGTTTATCTTTAGCAATTTTGTGATATAAATATGCAAGTCTTGACATCAAAAGGAATGGTGTGATATAAATATGTAAGTCTTGACAACAAAAGTGCCTTCTAATTTTTAGCAATAGCGAAGGTGAAAATATCATGATACATGGAAGTGTATCTAAACAAAATTAAAAAAATCATGTTCAAGAAGGGTAAATCTTAACCATGTCAATTCATTTCAGACATCAAGAAGATAACTTCTTTGGAATATACCTGAAGAAAGGGAAGAATTAGGTCATACACTTGCTGCAGAAACTTAATATCTGTTGCAAACCTGCATCATTCAACATACTTTAGTTAGATCAGAAGCTCACAGATATGCACCCAGAATAAGTGGGCAGCAGCAAGAAATATTGATATTCAACAAATAATTAGGTAAAGGAAATCTCCTAAAGACATGCACCAAAAATCCTATTTATAGAAGAAGAATGAGGGTAGCTCGGGAAAATATTCCATTAGATATAGGCTAATGTAATTCATTCACAACCTCTATAGTCTAGGACTATCCACTAAACCGTACAAATATGAAACTAACTTAAAAGAGATATATTCAGTGTTATGAAACTCAAACCATCACATGTAACTAAAATATGGCTTCAGCAATTTAAAATCGGACGTCAAATGGTTCTGAAAAAAATAGGACATTGTTTAGCATCATAATATGAGATGTGTTGAGTTCTTAATCCCAAAGACATGCAAATTTTTTTTTCCAAAATTCCATTTGAATTTGCCAGCAAGCTAAATAATCCATAGATGAGATGTTCTTTCCTCCAATAAAGATACTTGATGATTGGACAAAAGAGTCCTAAATGGCATAAAATTGTGGCACAGCAATAGTGTTGTTGTTCCTATATCCTTCGGATCATATGTTTTAACATATTATTGATCAACTTGTGTGAATAAATAGTGACTGTTAAGCTACCTGGACAATATACCCAGTACACTGAAAGAAAAATCTACAAACCTAGCAGCTGAAGGAAATAGATATGAACATAGTAAAATTTTGAATTCAAAGACAAACCTTCTTAATATCCGAAAACAAACATACAGCTCCTCAATATCTGATTTGACCTTCAGTTCAATATATTGCTTAAACAGCTCAAACAAACTGGAAATTAATTCATCTGATTCCATTGCACTTAAATCAGTAAAAGTAGACAAAATATGACTGAAGGACTGAAGAGTCAGCGATAGAAGACCATTCATATCAGATCTAGAATATTGAGTTGCGATAATGTTCAACAAAAGGCAACTGCTATGTTGGAACTTCTCAACCCAACTTGGAGGAGTTCCTTCCCACAAAAATATATCAAGTTTTTCAGAATTCTCATCTTTTATGTCACAAGGAAATTTCTTCCTGGTACTGCCAGAACCATTGCCAGGAAAACTAGCTGCTCTGTGTGGAGGAAGTGCTTCAAGAATACCAATCTTCAGTTCTTCAGGTAACTCATGCAGTACTGAAAAATCTAATTGACTTAAAGACTGAGGTACTATATCCGGATGGTTGTCAGCACATGTATTAATGTGCAAATCATCATGCCTTGGATGAGAGATTGTAGACAACTGAATTTGGTGAATGTCACTCTCCATAGCACCCTAGATATGCCAATCAAGTGATGAAGCTGACCATGGATATAACGAACATTACCAAAAAAGCATGTCAATCAGAAGATAAATATAAACAAGTTTATACAAGAGTCTAAATGGCACTTTTGCATCAATAGCTACTGCTCTTCTAAAACTAACTTCAATTTTGAAGATTGCAGAGCTCAAGTAAATGTTATAAGTAGAAAATAATCAGCATCTAGGGCTTGAACAAACACAATTCAAGTATTATTAGTTACAATTCAAATTAAGATAAGAGTTAGGTCACAAATTTCTTAGTAATCAGGAATAGTGAAAAATAACATGAGGAGTATAAGATGATTTAAAAGGTGTTTAACACATGAGGTGTTTAAAAGGGTAAGCAACACAAAAGTATAAAACATGAGGTGTTTAAGATGATTTCAAAGCACCTTTATTCTTCTACAGGATAGTTTTCATTTCAAAATTGACAATCTCATCAAAGAATATCTCAAACACTCATGTTAAAGGAAGAGGCAGACTTGTTGGAATAGGAACATGCATGTGCAGCCAAAAAAGATGAATAGAAAAAAAGGGAAGGGAGGAGAGAAATTAGATCACAGTTGATGCAACAATCTATCAGGAACAAAGCAGTTTTTGTAGGCAAAACATATGTTAGCAGATATTTGATAGCATCAGCCAACAGCTTGGTGTTCACTGCATGTATCATCCCAATCTTGCTGAACTCCTTGAGTTGTTAACAAGGTAGACATTAGGAATTGACATGACTTCAATCATAGACAAATTTAGCAAGAATCATTCAAGCTAAAAAGTCTACATATGGGTTCATAGAATAGCCTGCTAAGCAGACAACATGACAAAAAATTACAACATAATGCTCTAGTTTAAAACTGAAAACAAGAAAGAACGTGATAACTGATAGAAAAGCTAAATAGTAATAATAAATAGCACATTTGTAGAAGAAACCACACCAGTTACCTTGGCATAATCTTCTAGACAATGATGAGCTCCAAGATTCTCTTCTTGCTGGTTGCAATGTCCAAAGTTTAGTGGATCTAATGATTCCTCCAACGTTCTGTTGTTCCTACAAGAACTACTAGGATAAGCCCCTGTTATATTATGCTCATCTTTCATTTTGCCAAATTTTAATTCTGCATATTCCACCTTGAAAAACTTATCATCGCCAACATACATAGATTGTTCTCTAAATTTTGAACATTTTTCTTCCTCATCTAACAACAATTGCTTCATCTTTTCATCCTTGTGCAACAATAATCCACTTGCAGATCTTACAAGGGGAGCTATGTGGCTCTCAGCATTCGCGATCTTCGGACTTGAGGTGCACTTAGGGGCAAAGAAAGAAGACAATTTTTGTTGTTTAAATGTCCCATTCTCAAGCTCATTCAACTGATAGGGGACCCCTGAAACAAAAGCAGCAGTTAAACACTGAGAAACATATTCAAAACTAACATTGAATCATTTGTTTCTATGTACCAACATAAATTAGCATATGGGTTTACAACAAAATAGTAAGTGTAGATGTACAACACTATTGTACTAACAAACATTTACATATGAAGCATGATAAAATCAAAACCGTGGCTTGTCAGCCAGAGCTTTCGAAATTCTGCAGTACAACATTCAACAGTGAAAAAAAAAAAACAATTGGCCTGTAATTCTATGACTTTTTATGTGTGGCATGGCAGTTCAAGAGCAAATTTGACGAGATGAGAGTTAAGTCCAGCAAAATGCTGTATGGCTGTGGAGCGATGAGAATCTTAAAAAGCATATGAACACAACCCGGTAGCTGGGACAATGCTTGAAAACATTTTACTATGCATGTAATAAAATGTGATATCAAGCTTTAGATACTGTCTAGATGGCGAAGAATTTATACTTATTTAAAGAAACAGGTTTAATTGGCACTCCAAATGGAAGGCATCAATTGCTATCATGGTCACTCATTTCCCCTAAGCAAGCATGCTACTGTAAGTTGATCGCAAATACAAAGAACATCGGTTATCGTATATGGCTCAAGACCACATTCCAGAAACCTATCGTTGTAGAAGGAATAACTTAACAAGAGGATCGAGTGTAAATGCAGTTACAGCTCAAAAGCTTATTGGCAGCCACGGAGTCCACCACCCAGGCAGGTCTCACGACTGGAAGCCCTCGGCTGAATGCCCTGAACCATAGAAAAGATAGCTCAAATTCAATGACCTTCACATCAAGGAACATGTTGAGAAAAGAGAAAGAGAGCTGACTCGACACAGAAATCCAATTTGTGGCGTTTCTTGATAACCTGAAGTTCCTCATTTTGTTGTCGGGCAGATGGCTGCAAATGATATGAGTCACAGATCGCCTGGAGAAGTAATTCTCGTACCGGCCACCATGCCTCAGCATAAAAACCCGAAGCTCCTGAAGGCATCGATCTAACAACGCACCATCACAACCCATTCGATCGATCTGATGATACAATTGCATTGAAATGACAACAAACAGAAGAAAAAGAAAGCACCTGACTGGGAGGCACCGTGAATCCGTCAACGAAGATTGAAATCTCGCTAAATATTCCTTTCCCAGAGGAGGAGGCGCCGGCGTCGAACTGTTCACGAAGCTTTCGATTCTTGATCGCCATGTAGCTGCGAGGGAAATCAAACGGGGAACGATGAGAAGAGAGGGAAGGCAGGGAAAGGGAAGGACGCGGAGGATAAAAAGGGGATGCGGATGCCTTCCGACGTCGGCGAAAGGGGATCTCTTGGGGGGATTGCGGCCGGATTCTCGAGGGTTTCTGGTGCGGGATGGATCGGATCTGCTGTTCCTCTTCCTTGGATTGGAGGCCGACGGGGCCGAAGGAGACTTGGAGGTCATCGTCCCAAGGGGAAGCGGGGCTCCGTGTCGGGCGGGGAAACGGCAAGGATTCAAATCGTGAAACGAGGCGCTTCGGAAGTGTGCGTTGGACGCTTCAGGAAGAGTTTCCTTTGTTCTTCTTTTTAAAAGATAAGGGTTCTGACATGGAAATTAAAAAAAAAATTTCTAATTTTATTTGTGACATTATATAATTTGATTTATTTTTAAAAATACAGCTTTATCTATTTATTAAAAATGGTAAATATAAGGGATATAATTACCTTATTTTTATATTTAAAATCATTATTTTTATAACTCGAATCTTATTACGTTCCATCGAGATTACAAAGGAATAATCTTATTAATATACTAGTTCATCGATCTATTCTCTAATCCAAATCCAAATCCAAATTTAAATCTCTTATAATAATGATATAAAATATGATCTAATAACTTATCTCACCAGCGACCTCTTTGCGCTTTGAATCTAAGGTAATCTTTTTCTTTGAAAATTAGGCTAGATTGGACCCATGAAAATTCATATCGATAACGATCTCGTTTTTGAGAAGTGATCAAGTCGGATTAGACTGATAATTAATCATATTGATAAAAGAATACTGAAACAATAATTTAGTATTGTACATGATCAACTTAAAACCATTTTGTGATGAATGCTTGAGATGCATCATGAAACCAAGTTTTATCCACTCTAAGTTGGGGGTATTGGAAACCTACTGATGTCATACCATCTTGATTGACTCATAACATGAAGAGCCTAGATTTTGTGTGAAATATAGCTCTATGATGGTTTAAAGTTCTACTTGGAGGAGGAAGTTGTTTAAGCATAGATATGCCTGACATTAATAAAGCATGAAATGAGCCTGCAAATTCCCTTTACCTACCTACACAGTATTCGATTGAAACCATTTCAATTACAATGCTGTAACTTTCAGGGATTCAATATGTGATTCTTCTTCATCAAAGTGCTTAAGAACGGCAGTACTGTCATCTCATCCACATATTTGGTGATATCATGCAATAATTACCATCATCTAAACTCTAGAGTCTTTTCTCCTTCCTAATTAGTGCATGCAATGCTCAATAATCTGTTTGTAAATGACAATAGTATTTGGACTATAGTATTATATCACCAAAGCATCAATGAGTCAGATGTCAAATGTTAATAGACCTATCGTCTCCTACATTTGCAGGAACAAGAAGTGCCTCGTGCCCTTACCTCCATGTAAATGGAAGAGGAGAGAGAGAGAGAGATGGCACGGAAGAAACATATAGAGGCAAAATGAGCAGAGTAATTAATAGCAAAGCAATATAGCAACAAAGAAGAAAAGAATTCTCAAGTATGAGCGTGTAGTAAGGTAGTGATATTGGCGCGGCTCAATCTGAGACCGGTTTACTGTCACAAGTAAAGCCAGTCATCGGATTGAACCTCACCAATATCGCTTCCTCGGTTCACAAGATCATCCAAATCCTTCTTACCTCATCCACATTCATATCACCAACTTCACCGCCATCATCTCATGCGAGTAGAAGATGACAACCAGAAGTGTGCTGTTGATGGCATGCTGCATTAATGTGGTTATTGTTATCATGAAGAAACCACTCATACAGTGGAGAAGAAGGAAGGAGAGAGACGGGGTGTTAGGGCATGATGAGGAGAGTCTGAGAAGCCATGCAGTGAGGGGGGAGGCATAAAATAGAGGGGGGTGTCAAGGCATGGAAATAGGAAGGTGAGGGGAATGATGAAGCTTGTGGCATAACCAAAGCCCAGCTCAGCTTTAGAAGGTGTGCGATGCTTTCCTTCTTGTACTCTAACCCAGAAAGAAACCCCCATGTTTAATAGATCACCTCAACAGAGAGAGAGAGAGAGAGAGAGAGCTCCTGCGCATGCTCACCTGCAATCTTCTCCCACACTCATAACACCAAACCAGCCCTTCTCCACGTCTTGCTTTAGACGTTTAAGACTACATCCCTCTTTATAGTTCATCATTCCATACGACTCTTAGAAGAAGAATATAGAGAATGAGAAAGAGATGGATGAAATATTTAAGGAGGAGGAAGAGAGAGAAGAATCTTTATAGTGTTATTTTAATGGACTTCGGGAGCAGGAGTGCAGAATGTGTGTGCCTAGAAAGAAGGTTCGAAAATACTTGCAAGCGCGCACACAGACACACACATACTCTCTCTCTCAATCCATTAGTTCTTTAAACTATGACTTCAACCACAAGCGGCGACATCGGCGTTAAAGCAGCTCTGCCATGACACCAACAACGGGGACAACTCTTCTTTGGGCTGCTCACCCTTCCCTTCCATCCTTTGGAGAGCACCTATACATAAGTAGTATAACTCTCTAAAATCTCGACACGCTATATATCGCAGGATCTTCGCATGTTTCTCACATAAAACATTTACACTTGCATGATCTGAAGCAATATGAAGATGATGTTCTTTTCCCAGTTGGGATCTTCACCTGCATGTCTTGAACTCATGCAGCGAGAGGAACGTAGGTAGACATGTAGATGACTCATGGTGTCGTATATTTCGGTACTTTTGATGCAGAAGAATGTTCATGTTCCATGATGAAGGTACGTACGCATACCACCGGTGGAGCGGCAGTGTGCACGGTGCATGTTGAGCTCCTTAGTCTTCTCAAAGAATTAGGTCAACAAAAGTGAAGTCTCGAAAGCTTCTTGACCTCATGATACGAGTAGCTCAGGCGGTCTGCCACCATCTTGTAACGAGATTCCCACGCCTTAACCTTCGACTCTCTCTCGTGAAGAAGCTTTTTGCCTTTCCTCTTTTTTTACCCTGTGCACGTCGATCACTTTCTCGGAGTTCCACGTCCCATGCATGCAAATGTTGGCGTGCATGCAGGGGGTGAAGGCACGCACGCATATACTATAACAATCAGTGACAATGATCGCATGGTTTTCTGCAGTACAAGAAGAAGTATGACCCAATAGAAAACAAAGAGTAACGAAGGCTATTTCGCAAGTCATCATCATTAAAGATCGCACGTCTCTTGGCTGCCATGCATGCTTTTTAGGCATTTTGCCTGAGATCATCTCATCTGCATGCTTACTTAGTATGACAGGAAATAAGTTAATGAACGACATAACATTCATTCTCCAGACTAAATGGAGGAGCAAATGTAGATGTAAATAAAAGTAATTACTTGAAAATTGAGAATTAAATCTTAAATTACCTCTGATGATGATGTTGAGCATTTGGTAAGGAGGTGTTTTCTTCTTGTCGACAATCTCCATAATTGCAATGGAATCACAATCTCCATAATTGCTTTAGCTTCACATCTCTAGTCTAACCTAAACTACTCCAGGAAGATATCTGTTACCAGCATCTAAGCCACCGTACATTCCACCTTGATTTGTTCTTGTCAAGATCCCTCAGTTCCATGTGACAGGAAGCTCTCAGCATATGTAAACCACATCAGTGGGCTTGTGTTTGGATTGACTGATCCTAGCATCATTTCTGGCCTTCCATATCAACCCCTCTTAGTGTTTGATTCTTCTACGGCAGTATCGGTGGGGAAGATGAGTGTGTTAGGTAAAAGGGGAAGTTTCTTCCTCTTTTCTTTCTCCTCCTCATTGTCTCTCTCGTAACAAAAGCTGATGGACCAACCTTGGCGTGAAAGGAAGCTTATAAAGTTTTAGAATCTCCCATGTATCAATCATGCATGGAAATCAGGCCAAGGGCCTTTCTCTGCTTGTTAAGACAAGGAGTACAGCTCCTTTAAGCAAGGGGAGCTGCTACGAAGTGGATCCCCATGTTGGTGAAAGCATTCAACTCCTGGTTTGGTCCAACCAGCTTCCTCAAAAGCACCTGAATCATAGCCAAAGAGAGGCAGCTTTGGTCAACTAAGTCCGACAATAACAAGGAAGAGAATCCACATCTGTTCAATTTCCAAGAGAAATCCTAATTTATATGGTTGGCTACAGTATTGAAGTTCCAAGTATGGATTATAAAATCCAGATTTTAGAATCCAACTAGTTGCCAAATTTGAGATTGTGTATGTACCTTTGAAACTTGAATCCAAGGATTTTGGCAACTGATAGAAGAACTTCCTTTAACTGCAGAATTTGAGATGAGATCTAAAGGATATTTGGCTAAAATCATATATACAAAAACAGTGGTCTCTATTACTAAGCAAAACAATGGCATAAAAATCAACACAAGGATGTTATCTATGGGCCTCTAGGAATCCTTGATTCCAAGTCCGGATTCATGCAAAGAGTATAAATTCTCAGGGGCCTAGAACGACCAGCTCTTTCTCAAACCTGCGCAAGTCATTTAGTCTCATCAGTCTAAGGCTCATTTAACACGAAGTAAAGGAAACAGGAAGTAAAGCTTCTAAATAAAATGTCTGACCTGATATCAACCCTCTTAAGAGTCAGTGGAGTTGATTCAACCTTTGCAACAAGGATTGTCCCTGCCCCCCTACTACCAGGTTTAGTAACAAGCTGGTCAACTAGAAAATAAGCACGAAAACTGGCAACAAATATGACCAACGAGCTACTGTAAACAATAACAAGTTAAATAATAAAAGGTTTGAAACTGATAGATAAGAACACATAATGTTGCACTAAAAACCCAAAACCAAACCAAAAATAATTAGTCTAGTTCATAACTTAACTAACAGGAAGAGCTAGAACAAGTAGATTGCCATCAGTTGATTCACCAGTTTCTGATCAGAAGTCTTTTACAAAGACAGGAGGATTTGCTGGTAATTGCAATTGCAAGTAATATTGAAATAATGGGAAGAAATAAGCAGTGTGTTGAAGATACAAATGCTGAGACAGCACCTTAATCAAATTCAAGTATAAATACAGCTCCATGACTTGAACCTCATCAAACACTTAAGAGATTCCGAAAAAACTACTTTTCATCCCATTGTCTCTTTCATGAAGAAGAGGCTATTTAAAGATAATTCAGTCTGTATGCCCCGTAAGAATCCAAGTAGTGGACTGACGAAAATGCATCAAGAATTAACATAGGAGGTTTACATATTTCAGTAAGGAAGATCACCCTCTGGCATCTCCCAGTTGTCATCTAAGTCATCCCTGGACTGCTTTGGAGCAGAATCATTATCTCCTGATGACGATGAAGATGAGAATCTGGGCCCTGATCGCCTGGAATGAGTGGGATAGTGAGTCAATTTATACTTCCAAGTTAACTAAATCTCCTGAAGAAAAATGATATTTGGCAGAGAAGGTTTATCGTAGTTTATCAACAAGAAACCAAACCACAAGTGGCACAAGCACCTAAAAGGCTGGTCCTTTGAAGTTTAAACTATGTCAAACTACTTATTTATGAAAGCAAATTAGACATGGTAACACCAAAACTAGCAAGGACATGGGAATTAATAGAGCTAGATGGTCAAAGAATCCACATTGGAACGAGAAATTGATGGAAGTTATAGGTATATTCTTGTCATAATTTTTGTCGCTTCATATGAGCAAATAATAAATTTATTTAAGTGGAATCTCCCCTAATATAAATACAGTAGTTTCAAGATAGTTTGTTATCTGAAAGTGCTGATAGAATATAGCTTGCGGTGGCAAATAGGATCTACAAAGCCACCTTGGGCTAATCAATGCCAGTTCACATTTACCAACTATAACTAGCCCATAAAAGATCATTCTAGATCCAAGTTTTAAATGTCAACATATCATTTGTCAGAATAAGCTTAAAGATAATTCACATGAATTATAGCAGCATCGGATTTAAGAGGGCAAAGAATATTGAAAAGTCAAAAAATATGTCATCAAAGTGGTACATGTGTAAAATTCTGAGAAAGATTAGGAGTTAAGTCATCACTACTCAATTTGCAAATGACAACGTATTGTCATACAATGCGGTAGCTTCAATTACTAGACAAATAAGCAAAATCTGTCTAGTAATGCTTGTTAATAGGAAAACTAGTCGTGGTAACGCAAACATAAAGCATGAATTAATATGATGCTCCAAGCATACCAAAACCAACTGGCATCATCTTGATAGTTCTCAGCCTGGATGTACTGCCCTTGGATCAAACAGGTTCATCACTTCATTTTGTTATTTGGATTTGTCTCCGAGATTGTAAATATGGATGTAGGTATGAGAAATAAAAATATTACAATTGGTTTGAAATGGTTATAACCATTTTTTTTTTCCTTTCAGCCTTAAAAAATCTTAATTCTTTATAGATCTAAATTTATTAGAACTCAAAACATGATTTCACTCTCTTTGTCGCTGCATAACATAGAAAGATGTCCCACGATGCTCATTGTCGCAAAATATTGTCACAGAGGGGGAGTTCATTGCTCAAAACTTGATATAACTTAAAATTTTTCATCTTTTTGTTTTTGCAAAAGATAAGTGGTGAAAGCGGGTCGAACCTAAGAACTTGCAAAGGGTTAAGGTCTTTACCAGCTAAGTAGCTTAGCTAACACCTTCAAATTTTTCATCATTTGTCAGCGGGTATTATTAACTATAAGTAGCTCAACACAAATTCCCAGAATGACCTTATTTTTTATCTGAAAATCTAATCATTTGAAGTTAATTAAGTAATCTAAGCTAGCATTTTTCCCAAATATGCATTTTTTTCATGATAAAAGGTAAGTCGTAAACAGCCCCGAACTAGTACTAATAATGATCACTGCAATCTATAAACTGCTACTACCAAAAGAATGATTAGATAAATGGTCGAATATAGTTTTAATTCTTTTGAAAAAAGAAGTTATATACTTATCCAGTATACTTCTACAAGAAACTACCAAATGTAAAACAGTGACAAGTATAGCTGAATTGATTACGAGGCTCTGAACTTTCTATTCTCTAATTATACTGAATGAGAAGAATAGGTCAAACTGCTTTCAAGTCCTTAAGAACTGAGGTGAACTATTTCTACGGAACTCCAAATATATAACCAGGAGGAGGAATCAAGCAAATCACCTCCTACGGTTCCTTCTGCTGGCCTCACGGGCCTTCCTCTTCTTCTCCTCCTGCTTGTTCTCAAAGAACCTCCTCCGCTTGCACTCCTGGATGACCCCGGCTTTCGACACCTCCCTGCGGAACCGCCTCAAGAGGGCCTCCTCCGACTCGCCCTCGTCCACCACGATCTGGACGTTGTAGCCGGACCCGAAGAAGAGCACGTTCGCGTTGTGGAGGGCGGGGTCAACGACGGCCGCCACGGCCGGGTCGACCTGGCCGCCGGAACCATACGCGGAGGCAGCGACGAGCCGGCGGGAGGAGGAGAGGTGGAGGGGGCGGCGAGAAGGGGTTGGGAGATGGGGTGGGAATCGAGGAGAAGGGCGGAGGGAGGGAATGGGGAGGGTTTTGGCGAAGGGGAATTGGATGAGGTTAGCGGTGGACGCAGCCATTCGCGGAAGCTTTTTGGGCCGAGGGAGGAGGGTGGAGAGAGGGTGAGCGATACGAAGCTTATCCGCTTATATCGTCATACTGAGATTAAAGAAATGGGGAAATATTTAGGTTTTTATATGGAAAATTACGGGCGAATTCCAGTAAAATTTACGACCGAACGATCATTTATCCCTATCTCTACTGGACCAACTGTCACCTTCACTCGCCAATCACCAAATTTTTTAGCAGGTCCCTCCAATGGACCTCACCAGACCCAACAACGAAAGCACAGCCTCTGCAACCGTCGTAACCACATTATTTTTCTCTCCTTTTTATTAATGACATCTATGTTTGCAAATTAATGAATTTTATTTTGCAAAATTACCGATTAGATTAACTGACATTCTTAAGATTTATCGGATGAAGTTTTAAGTCTCATAAGTAAGATAATATTAAATAAATATTATAAATTAATAAGTCTTTTTTAAATTGTAAGTGTTGAAAATGAGGTTGAATCCTGAAAATTGTAAATCAACAATCAATATCCTTAGTTGCTTAGCCTTACATAACTTCTTCAAAATTGTTATATGATATTTCAAATCGTTAAATGAAAATTATGATTACCTTCATATTTTTTATGGCTGATAATAAGAATTTTCTCATTTATAGTATACAGAAATAATTATGCATCATTTGCATGGCTTCCAAGAAATCATATATCAATTTTCCTATGGCACATTGACACTCAGAATTAAACCTAACCATGAGAAGAAGGTAGACAAGATGTGGCTGACCTGATCTGAGTTCCCTTGTGTCTCCATCATGCACTGGATTCTTTGATTGCATTTGGAGAACCTGCACCATGTAGCAACTTAATGAAACAAAACAGTCAAACCAACTTTGACAGGACCTTACTACATTATTCTACTTGCTTGTTGATGGGCATATCAACCCATCTCTACATTCCTATTTGGAATCTCATAAACATGCATATCTGTGCCAATGAATTCGTGTATGGTAATGCCAAAACTAACCTATGCAATTTTGTGCAAAGAGAATACAATTTGGTACAGTTTATCTGTATCTAATTTCTCCAATACAGAATAGGTAAATATAGGCAGAGATTTTACTGTCAAGAAAGTCGAACAAGGCATAAGCATGTCCACAACATTAGCGACAAGCAGTTTTACAAATGCTGTTTTGAATGTTTAGTCAGCTGAAGGAGCTATCTCTATCAATTCATTAATCGGATCCTTGTGGAAGACCAAAGAGAGATGCATAAGCTTCATTCACATGCTGCTATTTCTCTTCTAGTTCCCATGGCTTGCCTACATCCTGAGAATATTCACAGCTGCCTAAACAAGGAAACCAATGAGGATCCCTAATAAGCAAATAGTTGCATATGATAATTTGCGTATGATAAATATACTTTTAATATGAACTGAATCTGGCTCCTGGAAAATCATGCAATCACAATGTATATTGAAGAAAGCAAACATTGATATTAAAGAAAACAAAATGTGTTCTCATTAACCAAGTTTACAACATAGTTTCCATGTTCAATAACAAAGATGTCAAACAATCAACTGGAAGATCATTTTTGATGTTCTTGATATGTACATTATTAGTATCAAAGGTCCAAACTTTTGGGGAGGATCCAATAACCTCTGAATCCATTGAACTCAGTTAGCTCATAATGGACAACCAGCTAAAGCAAATTAACCTGAACAGGATTCATCTTAGGAAAAAAAAAAGGTCACCTTGTTTGTGCAACTTCTATTGGTATAAAAAGGGTAAATATGATTTGCAGATAAGTATAATGACATGTTTCAGATAGCACTGAATGTCAAAAAAGGCATCTTAGCAATCGTGTGCCATCAAGAATGGCTAAATTGTATCTGGCATATGGTTATAGCTCTGACCTTTTAGTGCCTCAGGAATGCAATTTATACTCTATTTGTAGAAACTGCTGCAACTCACCAGATAAATGTTGGTCCTTTAAATAAAGGCACTTCATGAAGTTCAGCCAGTTTCCCATTATGCTATATATAACAATAATTTATGCATGAAAAACAGATCAGACAAAAATGTTCTCAAAGCAGATTCTGCATATAAAATATGCATTCTATGAAAGAGTTTTGTCATGAAAACACAAGTTCTAAAGTATAATAGGCAACACAGGCTACTCCTTGAGATGATGAATATAGGGAAGGAAATAAAGTTATGTTCTTCGGTGTAGCACATTAAAACATCAAATCAATTTGATCTATGTATCCAGTCTACACCTTGAGGCAAAGATAGCAAGAAACAGATTCGAAAAGCAAGTCCTTCATATTAATATCATGGTATTCAACTATACATTACATTGTTACTGTATCATGAGACTTGTCTTAAAGTTATATGCAGTCCAATCGCAACAAATCACTGTGGGGATGATATAAATGGTAAATATGCTTACCGCATTGCTTGTGCAATTCAATCTTTGTACTAGTTGATGCTTTCTTTGATGTCATCCAACTGCTCGATGATGTATTCCAATTTCTTGGAGCAGATCTCGTTAGAAATTCTGGCACTATAGTCGCATTTCTCAAATGGACGATATTCACAAGCACTCTTAATTTCTTCACGAAGTGTTGTCTGGATTTCCTGTTCCAAAAACATTCTATCAACTTTGTAAGCGGTCTACTTATTTGTCAAAAATCACAGAAAATTTTAGCAATTGCAGAATAAACACTGAAGATTTGAATGACAGGATCCATGACAGGATGTCGATAACATAGGATCTGTGCCAACTGGCACAAACCAGGCACAGCACAGAGGATGTACAACACACCTTTGGCATCTTGGGCATTCCCATACTGGGACTTGCCAGAACAAGTAGGAAGATGTTGGAATGTTTTTGGTGCAATCTTTAAAGAGAATTTTCAGTTGTATCACTAATTTTGTATATGCAGTGTATATCTTGATCTGTGATGCACAAACCTTGGAAGGTTAACCTCTTCATGAACAGTAAAGAAGAAGATTTTCTTAAAAGCACATGCAATGTTACACATATATTTATAGGAATTAAAAAATGGATAAGCATCCTCTTTAAGTAGTGAATCCTTTTCTTGATGTTCTATTTGATAAAAGTATTAGTGATAGGAGACCTATAGATGCTACAGTTAAAAGATGGGAAACTATTAATATTAGTTGTGCGAGTAGAGATAGAGGAAGATCTATAAATACTTTATTAAAAATTATAAATAAATATTTAAATACTCATAATTAAACTAGGAATATGACGTTTTTATGGAGCTTAATACTAGTAAAAGATCCATGTAGCCAACTCTAAATAGTTGGGACCCTACTGACCTTGTTATTGTTTGAGAACATATGTATGAATTAATTAACAAAGAAACTCCACAGAGACAATGTCCACTCACATCTGTAACACATGGATCAGCTACAATTCTTCAACTCCATAAATTTTAGCATTATCCAAGGACACATGCTGTTAGATCAGTAAACCAGATAAGTTTATCCTACACATCTATGAACAAAAAAAAAGCAGGAGGAGGAATAACATGGCTTCAATTTGTTACAGTAAGGTCAGCTACCATTAAAACTTCAGATAAGTAGTTTTGGTCATTGAACACAGCATGGAACCAGAGATGACAATGAAAATTTGGAGATGGTGACATATTAAATCTCACAACGAGATGCACACCCCTCAACCATGAAATTATTTTTCGCCCAAGTGTTGGGCTTGTGTCTAAAAGGAGGATTACCAAAGCTCATTGCTTCTAAAGATTAAAAAAAACACACTCTCTTTGGCATTTTGACAAGCGATTCATGGGCAAGTCCATTATCTTGAATAAACGACACAATCCACACCAGAAACCTATTCATAAAACACAACCATCCCGTAAACATGATTTCCGAAAACCTCTGCATATACCTACGACTGCACATAGCATAAAGATCATTTACAACCCTCGGTAATCTTACCCGCCTTAAGCGTCGGTATCAGGAGAACGAAGACGTTAGCGGGGGGAGAGAGAGAGGACAGAGAAGGTAACCTTGATGGACTGCATGAACTCACGGCAGTGAACGGCGAGAACGTCGGCGCGGGGCCCGGTCGAACTGGCGAGCTCGTCCATGACAGATCCGGCGAGCTCCAGCACGCGCACTATCCGCTGATGGCGGCGCCAATCCAAGCCCGCCCCCAAAATAAAAAGGAAACGGAAGCAGCACCGGCAAAGAGAGAAAGAGAAGGTGAGAGCAGCGTCACCAAAGGATCTGATACGGTGGGAAGAAGGGGATGGGAGAAGAAAGGGGTCAAAGCCAACCTTCTCGACGTTGTGAAGGCGTTGCAGAGAAGTCTGCTGTGGATCCATCTTCGCAGCAGAAGAGGCGGGTTCGGGGCGAATAAGCTCACAGTGCCGTGACGCTAACAGAATGAGATCGATCGGAGGGAGGAAGGAAAGGCAGTTAGACCGTCCACAGCTGCGAAAATAGCATATCGTCCCTTATATATATATATAATGCCTTTATATTTAGTTTTTATCGAGATTTTTTTTAAAGATTCTAATAATACGCTTCTACAGAGCTATTTCATATCACATATTGACATGTCCGATCCAATTTGATTATTTGAATCAGATGGAGTCCAATCGTAACAAATAGAATCAGACATTATTGAATCTATGAACTAAGTATAATCAGGATATTTTCATCAAATCAATTCAATTTTTTTTAAAAAATACTAGTATATCAATCTAAAATATTTTGTGTTATTTTTTAAAAAAATTATGATTTTAGGGTAAATAAACTTTGAAAGAGGATATTTTGGGTTGAATCGACGATACCCATTATTTTTTTATCAAATTTATCTAAACTTCGGAATGACTACGGTGAGATTATAATTAGTTTAGTATCATTTTTTATAAATTTAGTGATTAAATTTTTAAATAGGATATTTTTAGATCGAGTGTAACTATTTGAATTTTCACAAAACCTACTCAATTTTTTCTTGGACCACTAGGGTGAGACGCTAAGATAATATTATCACTTTTTTTATGAATTTAGAATGATTAGTTTTTAAAATATAATATTTTTATGTTTAATCGATCAAGCGTAACTCTTTGAATTTTCATCAAATTTATCAAAACTTATTATAAACTACTAGGGTAATATACTAATATGCTTTTTTTATTTTTATTTTTAATTTAAAGTGAATAATTTTAAAATAAAATATTTTTGGATTGAATTTATAATCGTAACTCAAGTTTCTTTGAATTTTCACCCGACAAATATAAACTTATCATAAACTACTAGGGTATGATATTAATATATTATTATTATTATTATTATTATTATTATTATTATTTATATAAATTTAGGATGATTAATTTCTGAAATAAAGTATTTTTATGTTGAATTATAATTGAGAATAACTCTTGAATTTTAACCAAACCTATCCAAACTTCTCCTGACTTAATAGAACAATATGTAATATATTATTATTTTTATTTTTATATAAAATTAAGATGATTAATTTTTAAAATAATATATTTTATGTTAAATATGTGATAGAGTATAACTTAAGTGTAATTTGAATTAATTTTCATCAAACTAATTTAAACTTCTTAAATTATGAGGAATAGAAGTAGGAGGGAGGGAATAGTCGAGGACGAGGAGAAGGAAAAAGAGAAGGATGAGGAGAGGATGAGGGAGGTAATCTAGGCTCATGTCAAACAATTTAGTTTACCTCCAATAATCTAGAGTCAGATCAATGAACATCGATTATTTTTTATTTATTTTATAAATGATATTTTGATTATAGTATGAAAAAAAAAAACATCTTTTTATCATGAACTTATCTGGTTTTACTTAAGTTGTGCGATATTCTTTCGTATCTATCCTTAAATGGTCAATCTCTTTGAAACTTCATATGGTCCCTTAAGAATCTGCAGGAGAAAAGATGAGTTAGAAAAAATATTTAACTTGGGATTCACAAACAATCGTGTCAGCAAACACTTGAGAGGCATTGCAAATTATAAACATGGGCTTCGCAATCTTCGAACAATCGCATGACAAAATGTTTAAGATGATATATCGTGGTCCAAAATCCCCACAAGTGCCCACATGATACTATTGCGAAACAAGATAGTGAATCAGCCCTAGACACTACCCCAATGGCCCATCCAGCCATGTGCCACCAAGTAACTCTTGGGTGTTATTCTACCTGACATTTTGTACCACTCTATGGAGTTAGAAAACCCTCAAAATAGTTGCTTGGATAGCTTATTTCCAAGCAGTTTTACCTCTACGTGATAACTGAACATAATTTACGTTTATAAGCTTGAAACAATCATTAAAGCCAACCAAACTAAGGTTGCAAAACTGCAAGTCTTCTATATGATTGTAAAGTATAAATAAAACTAAAAAATACGAATATATATGAGTATTATATTAAATACTCATATATATATCGGTGATACTTTGGTAAAAACCATGGTATCATTCAGTAAAACTTCATTCGAGGCTCTCTCTCTCTCTCTCTCTCTCTCTCTCTCTCTATATATATATATATATATATATATATATATATATATATATATATATATATATATATATATATATATATATA